TATTTTTTAAAAAATTTTCATATACCTACTAAAATTTATGATATGAACATAGTCTAAAAATCTTTGAGGATTATGATGCACTTCCTTCCATTTCATTTTTTTTAAAAAAAATTGCGTTATCATGATTTTATTATTTTAAAAGTTCAAACGACACAGTTTTTAAATTTTTTATTTAATGGGTTTATTTGGTTTCATCCATGCCATTCTTTTACGAGGAAATATCAAAGTATTGGTAGGTTGAAAAATTAATTACAAATCAATGACAAATTTTATAAATATTAGTAATTAAAATCATAATTTTTTTTATAAATTTATAATTATTTTTAAAAAAATTCACTACTTTGAATTTTTCTTCTTTATTTTTCCCAATGAATTGGTTCGATTGTATCGCTAATTATTATATTTAAATCATAAATTTAGAAAAAATCTCGAATCGCTCATGAATTTTAATAAAGTTCAAAAAAAGTGAGAAAAAAAACGTGTGAAATAAAACTGTCAAACTTCAGAATCAAAATTTCAGTACGGATGTTCCATCATAGTTTGAAAACTTACCCAAGCTTTGTACTTGCTTCTCACAAACGTAGTTTTACGGTTCACTTCCATCTTATATTGACAACACTCTCCCTCCGCTGAGAATCTTATACGAAACAAAGGCCAAGTTTGGGAACACCTCAAAAAGTCAAAAAAGTCAAAAAATTATTTAAAAAGTTAAAAAGTTATTACTATTCATCAAAAGTCAACAATTACGGCTGCACAATTCTCAATTCTAATTTTCTCCTACAAATCAATTTTTACAATTTTTTATTACACATTTTTCCATAAAAAGTCAAAAAGTTAACCAAAACATTCATATTTTCAACCTCAACTTTTTAGTCTAAAAAGACAAAAAGTGCACTTATTTAGTCTTCCCAAACTTGGCCAAAGTTCTTTAATCTTTTATTTTTTAAATAAGGGGTTGTTTGGGATGACCTAAATAAGTGTATTTTTTGTCTTTTTACGAAAAGATGTGCAGAAAAGTAGAGAGATGATGTGATGGAAAAAAGATAAAAAGATAAAAAGATAAAAAGTTATTTAGGAAAGCCAAACTTGGCCTAAATATAATTTAAATATATAATTATTAATATATAATTATTTTTATATTTATATTTTAAGATGAATTATACTAACAGTTCTTATAATTTAAGACTTGTGTCACTATGATTCATAACTTTTTAATTGTAACAAATTTGACTATAAATTTTGAATTTTATTTCAAATAAGAACAATTGAATATTTCATTGGTTAATTTTAAAGGCAAAATCATCAAGTTAATAAAATATAAACTAATTTGATAAAAAATAAATGTCAAAAAAAAATATTTTTGAATTTTTAAAAATTATTTCTACCCACTAAAGATAAAAATTATATAAAATTGATAAATCTTTTAGACGTTTATTTTTTTTACTAAATTAATTTTTATTATGTATTTGGATGATGATCATATAATGGGTAGTCGTTTTTATTTTTATTAAATTAGTTTTTATTTTTCTAAAAGTCAAATATGACAACAACTTTACTATCATTATTAAACCAATCCATTAAATCAAAAAATTTAAAACTAAAAACATTTCATATATTAAATATATCGATTACATATTAAAATTATAACAACCACCTATTACATGATCATTAGCCAAACACATAATAAAAATTAATTTGGTAAAATAAATAAATAAATAAATGTCTAAAAGATTTATCAATTTTACATAATTTTATTTCTGGTGGGTATAAATAATTTTTAAAAATTTAAAAATATTTTTTTGACATTTATTTTTTTCAAATTAGTTTATATTTTATTAAATTGACGATTTTGACATTAAAATTAATCAAATATATCTTTAATTGTCTTTATTTAAAACAAAATTTACAATTCAATGTTAAATATGTCACAATTGAAAAATTAAGAGATCAAAGTGATACGAGTTCTAAAATATAGAAATTATTAATATAATTCACCCAATATTTTACTTAATATATCTTAAAAAATTGAACGGTTCAAATCGTGAGAGAGCGACGTAACAAAGCGTTATTTTCTTTTGCTTTAAAGTAGAGAAAAGATAAGCCGGCCTGTTCAAACTATTCGTGACTAGCTAAACCGGTGTAATGTTGAATATGATGGTCTTTCTTCCACTGAGACAAAGGCCTTTCTTCCACTAAGACAAAGGCGGAGAGAGAGAGCCCGGCCTGTTTATCACATATGGGCTTCCCTTACTAGTCTTAAACACCAACCTAGATCCAGCTAAAGTTTTGTTTGGGCTGGTCCAGCCCGTTTAGAATATGGGTTTGGATTCAATGTTAATTTGATAAATTACGGACAAGTCCTTTGCGATAGATTTAAAATACTTATAGGTCTTGTTCACTTTTTAAATGTATCAACAAGTCATAAAATGTTTATTTTGCCTTGATGCTTTTTTGGGGATATTGATAATTTGATAGGTTAAAAAATATATATATATATAAATAAATAAGTTTGGTTAATTAGACCATTTCGTAAATTTTTCAGAATTTTATAGAGTTGGAAAGGAATGGGTCGAACCAAGCAAGAAAAGCTTGGGTTGGATTGCAAGTCTTTGGGTCAAATAATAATTCTTCTGTTTTAGCTAATCAATTAAAACTAAAACATAAATAAAAAATATAATCTTTTTATGATATATTATTTATGCACTTAGCGTTAACGTGATATTTATAAATATTTATTTTTTAAAATAGATTATTAAATATTTTTAAAATAATATTTTTACTCAATCATATTTTTAAAAATAATAATGGGCTGGAACAAGTAGAGATTCAGCAAAGATTGAGAGAGCAAGTAGAAATGGAGACCTTAAAATAGCTGGAAAAACTAAGGCTGGGCATAGGGTTACCCGACCCGCCCAAACCGTCTTACTCGAACTGAACCGCACGCGTGTGGGCGGTTTTGCAAACACATTAAGGTAGGGTGCGGTTTGGATTTTATATAAATTTCGGATTGCGGACGGGTTGCGGGTTTTAACCGCACCCGCCCAATCCACCCACATTAAATTAATTAATTAATTTATATCTATACTATTATTAAAAGCCAACAGGAATTTTGGTGTCCTGAAGCCTTGCCTAGAATTTTTTTTCCATTCTTCCTAAAATGACCATAACTTTTTAAATAATTATATTATTTTTGCACTAATATCAACTTGTACTTATGGGTAACATGATAAATTCAAACCAATCAACTCCACTACCCACGTTTTGAAACTTCACAACAGTTATAAATTGAATACTAGAGAGAGAACAAGATCATATTTCCAAGATCTTAATTTAATTGAATCAAATCAATCCTCCTCCATACCATACCATACCATACCATACCATTTGATTTGCTTCAGAAATGAATGGTTGAATGGAGTGTCAACAATAGATTCAGAAAATGGGTGAAAGTAGAAGAAAACGTGGGCAAGGGGATCATGGGTGGTTATTTGTTCCTCACGCTACTGATTCTCATGGGAAGAATGAAGAGACTTCCTCTGATATGTTGAAGAACACTCCGTCAAACATACGGAGATGGTGGATGAGATTGAGCAATGTGAGGGTCGCCCCAAGTATCTCGCAGAAACTACAAGTCCGTTTGATGGTGGTGATGTTCGTTGGTATTTTTGCAAGCTTCCCTTGGCAGACAATGGTGCGAATAATTTACTCTACTTTTAGACCTCAATTTAATCATCAAACATTATGAATGTTAATCATCAATTAGTATAAAAATATAATATTAAAAATATTTGTATTCATGTATAAAATGTTTCATAACCGCCGATCAAGCCAAAGACTCAAGTAATAGAATTGTAACTATTCCTATGTTTAAATTGGAGGATTTGAGAAGAGATTTGAAAAAAAAAATAAAAAAAATAAGGTAAAATGAAAATAAAATATATCTATACGTGTTATAAGAGTCGAGTTTGTATTTTCCTATTTTATGTATTTTTATGTTTTTATATTCATTTTTTTATAAAAAAAATTATATTCAATTTTTTTGGTTCCTATTTCACCATTTTAAGCTTCTGTTTGTTTTTTATATATAAATTCTATTTTTTTATTCTCGGTTTGTTTGTTGGTGTAGCCTTTTTTTGGTGTCCAGTGCTTTAAAGGCTTTTTTTTTTTTAAGAAAAGAAATATTTTTTTTTGGGTTTTTGCTATGGTTATTTTTATTTTATTTTTTGGTATAAATTTCTTTGATTGTAAGTGTTTTGGCAGTCTTAAGTTTGTATTTTTCTATTTTGTGTGTACTAATTTAATTATACTTTTTATTTTCTTCATTAAAAAATAAATAAGATGAAAAGTTTTATTATATTATCAAGTTCCTTAGGAAAAAAATTAACTATTATTTTACTTCGTTTATATTAAGAAGAAATTCAATGTAATTGCTTATATTTCTGTGTGTATACCAAATCTATTTGATTATAAATATTCTAAGAATCTTGGATTTATAATTTTTAAAAAGAGTACTTTTTTTAAGAATTATTATTTTATTTTGTTTATATCAAAATTATAAGTATTCTCTATTTATTTTTTTAATAAATTTATGATGTATAATAATTTTTTTTTTAAATAATATTGTTTTAATTTGCACACGCATCGTTCGTGGGTCCGACCGCTAATATATATATATATATTTCAAATCTAACCGTACAATGTTATCATCATCTCACTTACTTACCTCATCTATACACCAAACCAAACAAAACAAAAAAGGGTTTGGTTATGGTGTGCAACTTACACCTTATACCTTATACCTTACACTTACACCTTACACTTACACCTTTTGTAAAAAATTAAACCTTACACTTACACCTTTTTTGAGGTTGCACACCATGTGCAACCCACTTACACCTTACACCTTACACTTACACCTTATACTTATACTTACACCTTACACTTACACTTTTTGTGTAAGTGGCACATGGTGTGCACTTGCACACTTAAGAAAACTCCAACAAAAAAACCCTAATCTAATCGTCTCCCTCCCTCACTCTCTCAGTCTGCTCTCTCTCTCTCTCACTCTCTCGTTGTTCATCTCTGCACCGATCACTCTCTCACTCTCTCGTTGTTCATCTCATTGCACCGATCATCGCACTGCCGATCTACTCACAGGTAAACTCTCTCTCTCAATCTGTGTCTCTCTCTCTGAGCCCGGTGGTTGATTTTTTTTTGTTTTATATATATATATATATATATATATATATCAGATATGATCTAATCTCATCAGATCTTGAACCCTATCTCTCTGATCTAATCTGTCTCCCTCACTCTCTCATCCCATCAGATTAGTCTCATCTCTCTCTTTCTCTCTCTCTCTCGCACCGATCGACTCACAGGTAAGCCTCTCTCTCTCTCTCTCTCTCTCGCCGATCGTTGATTTATTTTGCAACATATCAGATCTGTTAATTTTTTTTTTGTAAGCAACAGATCTGTTTAATATATGTGTCTGTGTATTGAAACAGATTTTTTGTATGTGTTTTTTTGTAAGCAACAGATTTTTTTTGTGTATTACAACATATCAGATATGTTTTTTTGTTTAATGTATGTGTTTGTGTTTTGAACCAATCTATTTTTTGTTAATTTTTAAATTTGTAGCAACACATTTTTTTATTTAAATCTGTCTGTGTATTGAAATTGAAATGGGATTTAATTGAAATCTGTCTGTGTATTGAAATTGAAATCGCTAATGCAGAGAAAATCCAATACCAAAGAAATTTGAACAACCACAGAAATTTGAACAAAGCAGAGACCTTCACACAAGTCTTCTCTTAGTTCTATCCCTGGCTAAAAACCAAAGTCCACAAACGGGGTCTGCTCGCTCATACTCTTTTGATGAATTGCAATAGAACTACAACATAACAAATATGCTCCAACAAACACACTCAATTAAGCATTTTTATCAATTCTCTACCCAAAAAAAAAAAATCCACAATTTGAGTGAAAAAAACTGACCTTACGACTGACGACATCGGCGAACTTGCACACAGCTTCAAGCATGTTCTCAATCTGCAACCTCATGATCGACTTTGAAGCAAGCTTAGGGTTTCAAAGCCAATAATGCCCAACCATTCGCCCCTTATCAAGATTCGCAATTGATCCCTTTTCAGGCTTTTCCATGGCTTTGAAAACCGCCTGAAACTTGGGCACCATCTCCTCCACAAACTCGCCTGTGAATCCGATTCGACTCACATTCAAATACAACCCCAAAGCCTTGTGCTGATAGAGCTAGTCAACATATCTCCACCACAGCTCTCTCGGATTTTTCAACAACCCTTTCTTTTTTTCCTTCAACAAGCCATCATTGGTCCTTGACAAGCTCGCTGGAATGTCTCAAGCTACGGATTGAGGAGAGAGAGAGTTGAAGCTCGATCGAAGAGCTTTGATCGATTGGGGAAAGCAATCGAGTCTCCTAAAGGTGAAGAAGATGGGGAATGCGATTTTGACTCTAAATTTGGATTCGGATTTAGGTTTGGATTCCGATTCTGATTCATTTTCGGAAAAGAGATTTGGATAGGTTTGGATTTAGAGAGAGAGAGAGAGAAAGAGACGAAATAGGAAAGACCGAAAGAGAAATGATATTTGGTTTGAGAGAGTCAAATTTCTTTGTAATATATGGGTGTAGGGTTGAGGGACCTTAAACATTATAAAATAATATTGTGGATCTCTCCCATTACTAAAAATGGGAGAGGGCCCTTAAACTAATTTTTCCTAAAAAATTTCAACATATATATTTTTTAATTTTTTTTATAAATATTATTTAAAGTACATTTAGATAAAATACATCTAAAAGTTTTTAAAAAAAAAAACTAAAATATTTATTAAAAAAATCATTAAAAAACAACAAAAATATGGAAAATAAAAAATTCAAAAAATATGTTTAAAATCTTAAAACCAAACAAATGTTTCATATCTCCAAACTGCATTATTTGAATTAAAATAATCAATAAAAATAAAATAAATTAAAATAATAATAATAATAAAATAAAATATCATATTTAATTCATAATTAATTTTTTTTTTACAACTTGAAATCAACTATAAAAAAAAGTCAACTATCTCCTTAAGTATAATTTTTTTAATCAGATTAAAATAATAAAAAAATTAAAAAGTCAATTAAAATATGTTTTTTATTGTATTCAAAACAACGTGGTTTTGAGTGTTTTTTCTTTTTTCTTTTTTTTTTTGTGCGCATCTCCCACAGCGACGAACGAACGACGACGAACAGCCATAGCAGAAAAGCACTCGGAGTTCTCAGAGCGATTTCCTCACATGGATTTCAATCAAATCTGATCATCCCTCTCTCTCTCTCTCTCTATATATATATATATATATATGTTTGTATGTATGTATGTATGTATATGATTGTTTTCAGATTCTGATGATTCTGATCTCCGCTACCATTACTTTGTTCACAATTTTACTAGGATTTGTTAGTTTTCTAGAAATGTGCCTTTAATTGCTTTTTACAGTATTATGTGAAATAGAGATCAATTTCCATATGACTAATCAGCTAGTGTGAGTTCAAACCCAAAAATTGTGAATCATGGGTTGAGAGAGGAGGGCAACCAAATTTTTTATTTATTTATTTTTAATTTTTAAACCAAAGACAAAAGTATAAATTTTTTTAGTTTTGAGTTCTCTTTTGGCAAAATAAATTGTTACATTTTATTCTCTTCATCTTCTGATTTATTTCAATCTTAACCTTATGTTGACATTTGATAATGAAAGAAGTTTATCATAATTTTTGTTTAATTTTTATTAATTATATTATGATTCATGTTATTGTTATTTACAACTTAAAACATAGCATTAATGGTAAGAAGGAAAAAAAAAAAAAAAATGAAATTGTGATAAAACTAATAAAATTTTATTAATTTTATTTTTTTACTAATTAATTTTAATTGTAAAATTAATTATTATTTATTTATTTCAAACTGTCCATTGCACGGTAAATAAATAAATGAATTGACTTTTACATACAGTAGAGTAGATAGGCGATTGCATGTTTACCTCGTGTGATCTTGAATTATCTGTGTTAATTTATAACGTTTACTTTTTTATATTCTTGTATTATGTTATTTTTAGTATATGTTTAGTTTATGTTGTATTATGTCCAAAAATATCAAATATTCGACAAAATTAATTTTCCTTTGCAAATTAAATTTTATAAAACTAATATCTACCGATTGAGTTTATTTATATAAAATATTTGATTTCAATTCAATTTTATTTTTTCAATTTGACAAAACTATACCATATTATTATACATTTTTAATAGATTGTCACTAAATAGACCCAAAAAAATACATTATCTTAAATAAAAAGTAAAATGAAACTAATATCTACCAATTGAGTTCATTTATATAAAATATTTGATTTCAATTCAATTTTATTTTTTCAATTTGACAAAACTATACCATATTATTATACATTTTTAATAGATTGTCACTAAATAGACCCAAAAAAATACATTATCTTAAAAGTAAAATGAAACTAATATCTACCAATTGAGTTCATTTATATAAAATATTTGATTTCAATTCAATTTTATTTTTCAATTTGACAAAACTATACCATATTATTATACATTTTTAATAGATTATCTCTAAAATAGGCCCAAAAAAATATATTATCTTAAATAAAAAGTAAAACAACTATATTCATATCCATATTAAAAAATGATAAATCCTAACTAAAAAAGTGGATATCTAATTTAAATCGTGCTATCTTATTATGTCAAAAAATTTCACCACTAGTTACCATGATATTCCACTTTTGAAGATTTCTTCCAACTTTCCTCCTACCTTCCTCAGCAGAGCATAGCACCATCCTGTTGGGTTTTGGTTGGTTAATCACATGCCATCTTAATTTGAATAGTTCATTTAATAAGTGTTGGTGTATATTACATGCATGTGGACATTTTCGCTGTGTTTAGTTGGAGGATTTGAGAAGAGATTTGAAAAAAAAAATAAAAAAAATTAGGTAAAATGAAAATAAAATATATCTATACGTGTTATAAGAGTCGAGTTTGTATTTTCCTATTTTATGTATTTTTATGTTTTTATTTGGTATAAATTTCTTTGATCATAAGTGTTTTGGCAGTCTTAAGTTTGTATTTTTCTATTTTGTGTGTACTAATTTAATTATACTTTTTATTTTCTTCATTAAAAAATAAAATAAGATGAAAAGTTTTATTATATTATCAAGTTCCTTAGAAAAAAATTGACTATTATTTTACTTCGTTTATATTAAGAAGAAATTCAATCTAATTGTTTATATTTCTGTGTGTATACCAAATCTATTTGATTATAAATATTCTAAGAATCTTGGATTTATAATTTTTAAAAAGAGTACTTTTTTTAAGAATTATTATTTTATTTTGTTTATATCAAAATTAATTCAATGTAACTGTTTATTTTTCTTGATGTATATTGGCCTCGTTTGGCATAACCTATATAATCCATCTTTTTATCTTTTTATCTTTTTTCCATCACATCACCTCTCTACTTTTCTGCACATCTTTTCGTAAAAAGACAAAAAGTGCACTTTTTTAGGACACCCCAAACCAACCCTAAATCTCTTTGACTATAAGTATTCTAAAAATTTTGGATTTGTAGTTTTTAAATAGAGTACTAATTTTTCAAGTATTATTACTTTATTTTGTTTATATCAAAATTGTATGCGTTTTCTATCTGTTTTTTTTTAATGAGTTTGTGATGTATAGTCATTTCTCTCTCTCTCACTCTCTCGTTGTTCATCTCTGCACCGATCACTCTCTCACTCTCTCGTTGTTCATCTCATTGCACCGATCATCGCACCGCCGATCTACTCACAGGTAAACTCTCTCTCTCAATCTGTCTCTCTCTCTCTCTGAGCCCGGTGGTTGATTTTTTTTGTTTTATATATATATATCAGATATGATCTAATCTCATCAGATCTTGAACCCTATCTCTCTGATCTAATCTGTCTCCCTCACTCTCTCATCCCATCAGATTAGTCTCATCTCTCTCTTTCTCTCTCTCTCTCGCACCGATCGACTCACAGGTAAGCCTCTCTCTCTCTCTCGCTCTCTCGCCGATCGTTGATTTATTTTGCAACATATCAGATCTGTTAATTTTTTTTTTGTAAGCAACAGATCTGTTTAATGTATGTGTCTGTGTATTGAAACAGATTTTTTGTATGTGTTTTTTTGTAAGCAACAGATTTTTTTTGTGTATTACAACATATCAGATCTGTTTTTTTGTTTAATGTATGTGTCTGTGTTTTGAACCAATCTATTTTTTGTTAATTTTTAAATTTGTAGCAACACATTTTTTGATCTAAATCTGTCTGTGTATTGAAATTGAAATGGGATTTAATTGAAATCTGTCTGTGTATTGAAATTGAAATCGCTAATGCAGAGAAAATCCAATACCAAAGAAATTTGAACAACCACAGAAATTTGAACAAAGCAGAGACCTTCACACAAGTCTTCTCTTAGTTCTATCCCTGGCTAAAAACCAAAGTCCACAAACGGGGTCTGCTCGCTCATACTCTTTTGATGAATTGCAATAGAACTACAACATAACAAATATGCTCCAACAAACACACTCAATTAAGCATTTTTATCAATTCTCTACCAAAAAAAAAAAAATCCACAATTTGAGTGAAAAAAACTGACCTTACGACTGACGACATCGGCGAACTTGCACACAGCTTCAAGCATGTTCTCAATCTGCAATCTCATGATCGACTTTGAAGCAAGCTTAGGGTTTCAAAGCCAATAATGCCCAACCATTCGCCCCTTATCAAGATTCGCAATTGATCCCTTTTCAGGCTTTTCCATGGCTTTGAAAACCGCCTGAAACTTGGGCACCATCTCCTCGACAAACTCGCCTGTGAATCCGATTCGACTCACATTCAAATACAACCCCAAAGCCTTGTGCTGATAGAGCTAGTCAACGTATCTCCACCACAGCTCTCTCGGATTTTTCAACAACCCTTTTTTTTTTTCCTTCAACAAGCCATCATTGGTCCTTGACAAGCTCGCTGGAATGTCTCAAGCTACGGATTGAGGAGAGGGAGAGTTGAAGCTCGATCGAAGAGCTTTGATCGATTGGGGAAAGCAATCGAGTCTCCTGAAGGTGAAGAAGATGGGGAGTGCGATTTTGACTCTGAATTTGGATTCGGATTTAGGTTTGGATTCCGATTCTGATTCATTTTCGGAAAAGAGATTTGGATAGGTTTGGATTTAGAGAGAGAGAGAGAGAGAGAGAGACGAAATAGGAAAGACCGAAAGAGAAATGATATTTGGTTTGAGAGAGTCAAATTTCTTTGTAATATATGGGTGTAGGGTTGAGGGACCTTAAACATTATAAAATAATATTGTGGATCTCTCCCATTACTAAAAATGGGAGAGGGCCCTTAAACTAATTTTTCCTAAAAAATTTCAACATATATATTTTTTAATTTTTTTTATAAATATTATTTAAAGTACATTTAGATAAAATACATCTAAAAGTTTTTTAAAAAAAAAACTAAAATATTTATTAAAAAAATCATTAAAAAACAACAAAAATATGGAAAATAAAAAATTCAAAAAATATGTTTAAAATCTTAAAACCAAACAAATGTTTCATATCTCCAAACTGCATTATTTGAATTAAAATAATCAATAAAAATAAAATAAATTAAAATAATAATAATAATAAAATAAAATATCATATTTAATTCATAATTAATTTTTTTTTTACAACTTGAAATCAACTATAAAAAAAAGTCAACTATCTCCTTAAGTATAATTTTTTTAATTAGATTAAAATAATAAAAAAATTAAAAAGTCAATTAAAATATGTTTTTTATTGTATTCAAAACAACGTGGTTTTGAGTGTTTTTTCTTTTTTCTTTTTTTTTTTGTGCGCATCTCCCACAGCGACGAACGAACGACGACGAACAGCCATAGCAGAAAAGCACTCGGAGTTCTCAGAGCGATTTCCTCACATGGATTTCAATCAAATCTGATCATCCCTCTCTCTCTCTCTCTCTCTATATATATATATATATATGTTTGTATGTATGTATGTATGTATATGATTGTTTTCAGATTCTGATGATTCTGATCTCCGCTACCATTACTTTGTTCACAATTTTACTAGGATTTGTTAGTTTTCTAGAAATGTGCCTTTAATTGCTTTTTACAGTATTATGTGAAATAGAGATCAATTTCCATATGACTAATCAGCTAGTGTGAGTTCAAACCCAAAAATTGTGAATCATGGGTTGAGAGAGGAGGGCAACCAAATTTTTTATTTATTTATTTTTAATTTTTAAACCAAAGACAAAAGTATAAATTTTTTTAGTTTTGAGTTCTCTTTTGGCAAAATAAATTGTTACATTTTATTCTCTTCATCTTCTGATTTATTTCAATCTTAACCTTATGTTGACATTTGATAATGAAAGAAGACCGGAAAAATCACATCTATTTGTGTTAACATAAGTAGATTTTTTTATTTTTTTGTTAACTTAATGTATCTATGTATATGGATAGATAGATCGACTACATGTACGAATAAAGTGGTAAAAAAAATAGTAATTCATGGGAAAATCACCCCATGATGGAGTTGCTTGAGAAAATACATGCACATGTCAATTTCATCATGTTTATGTATATAAATCAGCTCTTGAATGAGCATTTTTATAGTAAAATTCACTTGCCACTTTTCCATCATCTTTTCATAACAGAAGGTTGAGATTAAAGCAAATAAGAAGATTAAGGGGCAAACTGTATCAATTTTTAGTTGAAAAGGGTAAAATTACAACAAGCCATAGTTAAGGCGGGGTAAAGTGTAATTTTCCTTTTTTATATAAAAAAAAATTAAAGAATTTATGCTTACATAATGAATTCATGTAACCCTGAATCTTGATTCTTGATTTGTTTAATTACCCCTTTTTCTTTCTCTTATTCTTCTGTGTTGGCTTTGTTTTTTTTTTATCAATGTGTGAAGTGGTGGCACTTGTTTTCAGCTGAGAATTGAACGCTCACACTTGCAATGGAGAAAGGCATTAACTGTTGCTTCTCAGCTATGATGACAAATTCATATACTTTTGTTATTACTAGTATTGCCGCCTTTATCGTGATGCGGGTTTTGTATGTTATATATTGGAGTGGCAAACCACTTTGTACTAAGCCTGCAAAGCCTTTCAGCACCCTCATTGTTCTGGGTTCAGGTTTGCTCTTTAGTCTGCAGTTATTTTCTCATGTTTCGGACTTGTTTGGAATTACCCTGTTCTTATTATTGGTGTCAATTCTAATGTAGGGGGTCATACAGCGGAGATGCTAAATCTCTTATCGGTGTTGAATACCGACAGATTTGCTCCTAGATTTTACATTGCAGCTGCCACCGATAATATGAGTCTTCATAAGGCACGCTTGTTTGAGAATTCCTTGATTGATAAGGTAGATTGCGTTCAACTGGTATATCTGGTTACCGTTGCTTATATAATTCACGTGAATACTCTCATTTCATAACGGGAACCTTGTGAATTCCACGTATGTTCCTCCATATGCTGGCTTCTATCTCCTTATTTTTTTGGTTTCTCACCTCTCCCATCACATATCATCTATCTGCATTGTTGATGATTTCTAAAATTAACAAATATTGGGCTGTCTCTGAGGCTAAAGTAATTTCCTGACTATTCTGACTGTTGGTGAAGAATAGTTATAATCGTCTGTTATAGTGCACATGAATAGGTTACAGATCTCTAAGATCACTGTTGATTTTCCTATTAAAAAAGTTTTGTTGTCGGTTTGAAGGACTTGCAACAATATGAAGGGGTATGTAATATTGTGTGTGAGATTCAGGCACGATTCTAGTTTTATGAAACATTTTGTCTGTACACAGGCACTGTAATGTCCCATCAATCTTATTGCAAAAAATTACATGCTTGAATGAATTGAAAATCTCCTCATAAAGAAGTGTTGTACTTAGAGCACCTATTGCATTCTGTCTTTACTCTGAAGTGTTCAGGATTGAAAATCTGTGTCCAAAAATGTGTAATGATATGTGTTTCTGCTACAGTATTATGTTGATGGTTTCTTGAATTATTAAATGATAATTGAGAATTGATAAGACAAATGAAGCTTTACTACTAACTACCAAGAGACGAAGTAGCTAGAAATCCTCTGAGAGGAGCAATCAAACATGTCTTCTGAAATTGGGAACCTAGCTTATTTGAAAAACAAAATGGGGAACCTAGCCAATGCTAGGCTAAGAACTGTCAATTTATGCCTGGAGGTAACTCTTTGTTCTGGTGGGCAAATTCTCCGTGTAATGTAGTCATTGTAGCCTCTAACTTGGTGTTACTGAATGAAAACTTAATGTTGTATTGCTCTACTAGCAATGGAAAAATTGAATCCAAGATTCAGAGATCACAGCATGTTTTGCACCAAATCTGTGCCTAAACTCACTTTCTTCATTAAAGCAAGTACCCACCTGATGAAAGACTGACTTTTTCAGAGGGTCTTTTGCTCCATCAGTTTTATTATCCCAGTTATTGCCTCAAGCTTCCCTCTTGTGAGATCACCTTGCTTCACAAACAACTGTATGCTAAAGTCTCCTTAACATCTTGCTATGATAACTTTGTCCAAATAGCTCTATGTCACAGAGACTTCCAATACCCTTCTCCACACAAATTTGTGTCCTCTTGAAGGTTATACTTAGACTTGAAGCTTTGCTATGCCCTAGCTTTGTGACTTAGAGAAACTCTGAAGTCAAAATAGAAAGAATTCCCTCTATACCAGTGGTTTAGATGCCAATATTATGAGCGTAAACAATAGGTAGCATGCGGAGGGAATATCAGAGTTTGCTTACGTATAGAGAGAAATTATTAAATTCTAGGCTGATACTTCTTCTATTATGGTTGCTTATTTGGGCTCGGTAGGGCATGGTTGTCACTACAAATACTTTTTTTTGGGAGCCTTACAAATGTTTATTTTTTTTAATTATAAATACTAGGATAAGTTAGCTGCCACATTGTGTTATCCTGTACTTTGTTGCTGCTTTACCATGTACTAATATGTTCTTAAATGGTTCTCTATAGACAGGAGTGGTAGAGAACGCTCAGTTTATGCAGATATATCGAAGCCGAGAAGTAGGCCAGTCGTATTTAACTTCTGTTGGGACAACCCTAACTGCTATCATTCATGCTCTGTGGCTAATGATTAAAATCAGACCCCAAGTGGTACTATATATATACCCTGTATTTTTTTTCTTTGCTGTGAATGTGTTCTTAATTTTCTTTCTTTCACTTCAGTATTTTAGTTGTTATATTTTTTTTAATATTTTGTTGCAGATTATATGCAACGGCCCTGGCACTTGTGTGCCTCTATGTGTTATTGCTTTCCTCTTTAAGGTTTGGATACCTTGACTTAAAAAGTGTATATGTTCAGAAAAATTTCTTTTTCCCTTTTTACTAGTTTCATATGCTTCAATTCTTGATCCTTTATGATGAGGATGGAGCTCATTGTGCAAATTTTCAATGTTATTTACAGGTTGTGGGTATTAGATGGTCATCTACTTTTTATGTTGAAAGCATAGCGAGAGTGAAGAGGTTATCTTTAAGTGGATCGCTTCTTTACCAGTTACGCATGGCAGATCAATTCTTTGTGCAATGGCCACAACTACAGAAGAAATATCCTAGAGCTCACCTTGTGGGTTGCCTCATGTAGTTGATTCAATACAACCTTTGCTGTGAGTACTCTCATTTTGACCACCCAGTATTTGTCGTCTAACCTGCATCTTTAAAGTCTATTCTTCTTGGTCTTCTATGTTAATTCTTGAGCCAAGAGTGTGGTTATTGCATTACTGAAATAGGGTATTGTAGTTATCTATGAAGCATGGATACGGGTACAAATACTAGTACTGGTACGACACGGGTACGTTGATACGATAAAATCTAAAAAAAAATAGGGTACAGTTATGGTTTGGTACGTTTGTAAAAAAATATTTATTTTTAATCTAGAGTAATGCAAAAATTGATTAAATAGTTTAATTTGTTAATATCCAACCTACGATTAACATTTATTCCAAAAGTAAAGGTATAAATTAAAATTAAATGTCAAAATATTAAATAACTTACAAATCATACCTTAATTTTAAAATCATACTAAGTATAAAACTAAAAATAAAAAAGAAGTCTAGTGAAAGGAATTTTATCTTTATAGTAGAAGAAAATATTATTTTAACTGAGGTACAGTATGGTTTGGGTATATACTAGGCATGTCTGGATACGTTAAAAATTAAGAAGAAAAAATTTGAGTACGTGTTTCGTATACCCGGTACGTATGTAGAAGTACCATATGCTGGTAAGTACCCGGTATGGGTACGACATGTTTTTCGAAGTACCCATACTTCATAGATAGTTATGTTATTGGTTCTCATCAGTGGAGAAGGGGAATCATTAATTAGATGATATAAAGTGAGGTGGTGTTTGATAAAATTGAAGACTAAAAATTAAGTATTGAAAACTGAATACTGAATTTTTTAATTTGAAAAACTGTTTAATAAAAATTTGAATGTTAAATTAAAAATAATTTGTTTGATATGTATGAACTCAAATTTAAAATTTATTATTTTTAAATTTTGTATTTCGATTTTTACATTGTGTTGGTAGTGGTGGTGGCGGTGGTGGTGGCGGTAGTGGTAGTGGTAGCGGTAACGGTAATGGTAATGTTGATGGCGGCGGCAACGGCAACGGCAACGTCAACGGTAGTATTGATGGCGGTGGTAGTAATAGCAGTAAAATGATAATAATGTTTATAACAACAATGATAATAGTGATAAACATGGTGGTGGTGGTGGCGGCGGTGGCATGATGATAGTGGTAGTGGTGGTCAGTGGCAAAGGCAGCAAGAGACGAGGGGGGTCACATGCCCCCCCTGAATTTTGGGATTTTTTTTTTTTTTTTTTTTTTTTTCAAATATAAAGAAAGAGGGTGACTATTGGTTCAATGGTTAAGACTTAGCCTGATAACCTTAAGGTTATGGGTTCGAGTTTTGGGACAACCACTTTGTGCATTATGTCAAAAGTTAGGTGTGTACTCAATCTTTCTCCTCTCAAACACACATTAATGTGTACTAATTAGGCGTTGTTGTTGTTGTTGCTGTTTTGTTGCAAATATAAAGAAAATATTTTAAATAAAAAAAATTACAAAAATATTATTAGAGTGAAATGTCAATGACATTTTAAAAATTATGAGAATAATAATGGTTGTTTTGAATGAAAATGAAGAGACTATTATAAACCATATCGTCTATGAAAATTTTATGAAATTTTTTGAATATAACGGTGATGTCATTATTATTAACATGCAAATATAAGTAATATCACTATAAAGATATGAAATTTATTGGATTGTTAGTTACATCTGACAATTAGTTGGTGATATCACATACTAATGATGATGTGATATTACCATTATATTGAATTTTTAATCAAATTTTATATAAATATATTTTTATCATTATATAATTTATTTTAAGACTTATATCCATATTTTTTTATATTGTCCATGATATACTAATTATAAATAGCATTATTTTTTTTGATATTTCTCGAAATCAATCGTAAAAACTTACGTTAAATATTTTTGTAAAATTTTTCAATACTATAATTAATAAGTGTCCCCTCTAATTTGATTTTCTAGCTCTGCCACTGGTGGTGGTGGTAGTGGTGGCGATGGCGGTGGCGGTGGCATGATAGTAGCAGTAACGATGGTGATTGTGGTGAATTTATAATAGTGTATATCTATATTTATATTTAGCATTTATAAATTCAGTTAGAATTAAATAAGTTTCACATGATTTAAAATTTTCATAAGTTTTAGCTTATATTTTAAGAGTCTTTTAAATTTTTAAGTGATTTCAAATATGGTTATCCAACGAGCTTAATTAATTATCACTTAATATATTCAATTTTAAGTAATGAATCATATTATCAAGTATTCCCTTATTAACAAACTCAATTTGATGATTCTAAATTTGAATAAATTTTAATACTTTAGTCAACGTGGGGAACTCGGACACAACACCACCCACTATGGATTAAGTAGATTGGACTCTGAAATCTTCTTGTCCTCGGATAATTATCTCAGGGTTTGAGGCCTTTGCGATGGTTGTAACTTTGTACACTAGTGTTTGTTACCTACAATTATATATGTCAGCTATAGTTTGTTTGATTTTTAACTAATGTTCCAGTAGTTTAAAAAATTATGTGAAAGAATTAGATACAAGATTTACTTATTATAAAATAATTATTTCGTTTTGTATATATTATGCACATATATAACTATATTATGCACTGTATTCCTAGATAATATAGTATCAAGGTATAATTATTCGTGGCGTGTCCGAACCTTGTCCAAGTCCATGTCCATTTTTGAAATTTGCCATGTTTGTGTTGTGTCATATCCATGTCCCGTGTCTATGCTTCATAGTTTTGGCTTTTCAGGTGATGTGTGCAGGCTGTTAATTAGCTCTTCCATTACCATCTATTTCCCTGAGGTCTAGGTTTTCTAATAGATTTGGATTGCCCTGAGAATTACTCTATATTCTACTTGAGTTCATAGATAGACCATCTTGTGATAAGGGTTTTGCCAAAAAAAAGGGGTGGTAAAGGTTTATGGTGTAAAGTTACACCTAAAATATTGAAGTACCTGTATAAAGAGAACTAGAAGCATTTGTAGGAATTGTAACCTGATATGTAATTTTAAAGCTAGTCATATAGTATGATTGCTGAAGTTACACTCTTTTTTGTTTCAGGTATTAAGGATTTCGATAAGCTAATTTTTATGGGGCATGGTAGACTTGATTGTCTAGTGTATAGTTCTTATTTTGTAGTCTAATGTATAGAAGGGATGGCTTTGGTAGCTAAGAAATTACACAAGTTTCTTGTAGTGTATAGCATTGTTGATTTATGTTGACAATGATCCAATTTGCTGATCCAATCTTCTGATCTTTTTAGCATCTTATTTCCAAAAAGTAAGGAAATGATGCAAGTTTCAATTGCAGAATGTGCTGTATTTTTCCATTTTTCTCCTGCTGGTGTTTGAACCAGAGGAATCTGTGTAACCATGTGAATTCATGTCTAGTGTTTTGTTTAGTTTGTTTCTTTTTTATTTTATTTTTTTTTATTAAATATTTTTTAATGGGATATGGTAAGCATATGTCATTCATGGCACTTAGATATGAAATGTTTTACTAATTAATGTTTCTTACTTCCATCCCAAATTCCCAATAATCCCAAGGTTTGGTCATATACACCTACCCATCTTTTGTGCTTAACTTTACCAGGCTAGGCAAGTAGCTTCATAGAAAAGAAATCAATTTAAAGGAATCATTTTATTTACCTAGATTCACCATAATTTGGAAATTATATGAAGAAAACCTTAAATCCCAGTTCCATGAAAATACATAAATACTTTATTTTGTCCTTCTTTATGGCGTTTCACATTGATTTAAAGATTAGAAAGTTGATACAAAGTATATTTTACTGGAAGAGTTGAAATCTTTCCAAATAGTAGGAACACAGAAGGATGACACTAGTCTCAAATAGTAGGAACACACTAGTCTCAAATGTGCCCTAGCTTTTTGTTTGTTTTCGATTTGTATTGGAAATTCGCATTTAATCGTAGACTAGCCTCTTTGAACGAGGGAAACTTTTGCCATTTTCACTTCGGGTCTTCACCTTGGAGTTCAAATCATCGAGATAATGCGGATTGACGCACAAAAATTTGATTGGAAATTCTCATTTACTCATAGACTAACCTCTTTCAACAGGGAAACTTCAGAAGCGCCATTGCCGTTTTCACTTCCGGTCTTGGCCTTGGAGTTCAAATCATCGAGATAATGCTGATAGATGTACGAAACAAACCCCCAAATGGCTAACAACATAGCTATTACCTTCACTCCATCCATCAAGTACTAATTACATTGGAGAAGAGCGAAGATACCTCAAAAATCAACCCCACTGCACCAACTGAGAAAACCTGCCATGAGATAGCTTCCCATACCAGAGTCATTATGTAGGACACCTTGCCCAGTTCAAACTCGCCCATTTCTTCCTTCAGGCCCTTCCACTCTCTGCTAGCGAAAAGCCCCACTAGGATCGCACCAGTTGCAACCAGTGACTGGTAGATTATCATATCCAAAACCACTCCAAAATTCTCAGTTTTTAGGATCTTCTGGTAGGATAGTTGTGTCAAAGAGATCATCAATGCATACCCTGCAGATGCACCAACGGTGCATAAGAAGCCAATTAGGTACTTTCCTTCAGAGATTTTAGTGGAACCTGAAGAATCATTCTGGAAGACGAGTAGGGTAGAGGATATGGTGAGGACTAGAGAATTGACTATGAAAGGAGTGACTTTTGTGAGTTGAGGAAGTAGGAGAATTAGGCATTGAAGCCCAACTGACTTGCACAGATGAGAGAGTAAGTAGAGACGGGAAGGTTCAAGAGCCCAATTGAATACAACATTGCAACTGCCACTAGGAATACACCGAGGAAAACATAGAGCGATGCGAGAGTTAAGGCCGAAGGTGGCTTTGTATGGTCATTGTTGGTAGGTTTGTTTTTTGTTGGTGAGATGCAGAAGGGAAGGAGGGCTGGGAAACCAGCAGTTTGGACGAGTGTTGCCATCCATTTGCTCTTGCCACCTTTGTCGAAGTATAAGCGCCCCAACAGTAGAGCAACTGATTGGCTGGAGAGGAGAGAGAGCGTGTAGATGGCCATTCGGAGCCACCATGTATAATCTGAGTTGAGGAACTCTTGATCGGTGACTGATATCAGCATTTTCAGGTGAGTTTGCTTCCTTGGCTTCCTCTACTGATAGAATAGTAGCATTAACAAAAAGAGTTAGTATTATCTACCCCACTTCCCTCCTGCACAAGGAGAATGATTTGTGCATGGAAAATAAATATATCTATTTTATTATATAAAGCATGAACCTTGTTTTGTGTAAACACTCTCACCAATCATATTAAATCACGTGTTCCTTGACACTCATCCCTTTCCCCTTATCTCTCTCTTCCCACCCCTCGCCCATGGCACCATTGACCACCTTCACTACCTTCCCCACTACCAATACCAATCTCCCCTCTCTCCTTTCACTAATCTCTCATGGCTATAGAATCCCTTGAATCTCTCAACCGTCACCCTTTTCCTCTCATCTCTCTCGCTCTCTTCCCCACCACCTCACTCACAACACCCACCAGCTGCCATCCAAACTCATCCCTACCAGCAGCTCAAGGATATTTGTTCATGTAGTTTGCTTAATCTGGTTATATCATGAAGTAATAGTTTGCTACAAAAGGGTTGTATCTTGTCTTTTAATGAAATTTTCAAAACAATTAGTTGTGTTTTGTTACATGGTATCTAAATATTTGTTTTCTTATCTGTCTCCTTATTGTGGGACAAAGTGAATCAACATGTGTACTGCTAGGTATGATAATCCGTTAAAAAAACTAGCATCATCAACAGTCTAGGTAAAATGAACTAATGACAATAATTTTGGAGGGTAATTGTTAAAATTACTAGTTCAATGGTACAGGTGTGATAGTGTGATATTCCAAAACGATACCTGCAGGGAGACTATTTACTTTCTGTTACCTTGTGTACTCATTTTGGTGAAGTTATCTTTTTTGCAAACGTGTAGGTATGGCAACAGGGCGAGGTTGGGGTTGTAGTCCCCATCCTGGTCCCCTTCTTTGTCAAGGTGGGGAGGACTAGGGAGGTGGTAGGGGGAGCAAAAAAGTGTCAGATAATTTGTCACTTTTAAGCTATGAAGCATGGGTATACCGGTACTGGGTACGATACGGGTACGTCGATATGGTATCCAAAAAAAATAAGGTACGGGTACGGCTTTGGCTTGGTATGCTTGTAAAAAAATATTTATTTTTAATTTAGAGTAATATAAAAATTAATTAAATGGTTTAATTTGTTAAGATCCAATTTATAATTAACATTTAATGTCAAAAATAAAAATATAAATCAAAATTAAATGTCAATATATTAAATAACTTACAAACCATTGTTTAATTTTAAATCATGCTATGTATAAAACTAAAAATAAAAAAAAAGAAATCTAGTGAAAGAAGTTTTATCTCTGTAGTAGGAAAAAAAATATCATTTCAATTGAGTTACGGTACAGCTTGAGTATATATTAGATATATTTGCGTACGTTAAAAATTTAGAAAAAACAATTTGGGTACGTTTTTCGTATACCCGGTACGTATGCAGAAGTATCATACGAGGTACCATATGTCGGTAAGTATCCAATATAGGTACGGCATGTTTTCCGAAGTACTTATGCTTCATAGCTTTTAAGAGGGGGGATGGCACTAATCAGAAAGAATTTATATAGCATATGAGTGACCAAATATTGATCAGTAATGGCTAAAAAGATTAAAAATGAGAGATCGAGAGGTAAAAAATGAGATATATATGAATGTTTTGATGTTTGATTCTTATTATATATAAGAAATTCAAATATATATGGATATATTTATATAATTTATTTAATATAATTGGGACAGAGACAGGAAAGGAAAAAAACAGGGCGGTAAAGCAAATACCGTCCCCTCCCCTCCCCTCTTTTCTTAACAAAGGGGGGAAATCGCACATAATTTGGGGCAGGGAATGCTGGAGGGAGGCAAATCGGCATCCCTGCCAACAAGTATATATACTAAATGGTTGGAATAGAACATGGAATATATATAAATATATATAAAATAAATGCTGTGTTTGGTTGAGAGATTTGAGGAGGGATTTGGAAAGAGAAATGGAAAAGGTAGGTGAAATGTGAAAAAAATATACTTACATTTTACATAGTTTCACACTTTTTTCCTTTTCCTTTTCCTTTCCAAATCTCTCCCCAAATCCTCTAATCAAACACAGCAAAAAAAGTCTCATTGATTTGATTGTTTGGAGAACTGATTTATGAAAAGGAAAAATATAGAAGTGACTTACCATGGATTTGTGTTTGCAGGTCTTGAGCTTCTCCCATGAAGATGTGAAAGTTCCAACAAGATTTAAGCTTACAAAAAGGTGTAGGTGACAAAGTGATCCTTGTTGTATAGGAAGATCATATATGGATGATGACATTACTCATGCAATTCTGGCCAGGTGTTGAGAGCAAATGCCAGGTGTTGAGATACTACTTACAGTAAAAAAAACAGGCTAATATGGTCATTTACTACATGCTATTACGTGGCAAGTCACAACAAAACTAAGTACATCCTTTTTTCTTTTTTTTCTTTTTTGGAAGGAACTAAAGTACATCCTCATTCATGTGTTCTACTCTAATAGGAAAATAATATGTAGTGTTTGGCCGAATTTTAAAATTATGATTTCAGAATAGGGTTATATTTTGAGTTTGTGAGTTTTGAAATTATGATTTGAAAATAAAAAATTTGTTTAGTTATGAATTTTGAATTTAGGCCTCGTTTGGCATGAGGTTATTTTAGTCAATTAGCTAAAAAGTTACTAAATTAGCCAAAAAGTCAACAATCCATACCAAAAAGTCAAAGATTCTCTTTTCTTTCTATTTTTTGCACATCTTTTCGAAATTAGCCAAAAAGTCATCCCAAATATACAAATTTTTTTTACCTATCTTTTTAGCTAAATAGTCAAAAAGTTACTAAATTAGCTTGTTTCCAAACGAGGCCTTAGTTTTTAATTTTTGATGCGACATATAAAATGAGAAAAGTGAGTTTTTAAAAGAGTTTTTAAAACTTAATTTAAAAACTTATAACTCATAATAAAAACTCTATTGAAAATTCTATTCAAAACTAATAATCAAATTAGCCAAAAAGTCATCCCAAATATACAAATTTTTTTTACCTATCTTTTTAGCTAAATAGTCAAAAAGTTACTAAATTAGCTTGTTTCCAAACGAGGCCTTAGTTTTTAATTTTTGATGCGACATATAAAATGAGAAAAGTGAGTTTTTAAAAGAGTTTTTAAAACTTAATTTAAAAACTTATAACTCATAATAAAAACTCTATTGAAAATTTTATTCAAAACTCATAATCAAACTTTTTTTAACATTCAATTAAAAAAAAATAATTTGTCATTTTAGTCTAAAAAAATAATTTCTTTATTTAAAAAATATAAAAAACGAATATAAATTTTTTTTTTTTAAATAACAGGTAGCGATTGGCAATTGTACAAAAATAAAATAAAATAAAAATAACTGTTCTGATCAACTGGCTGGACATCTGGGAGCATGAGTGGGTAGACTTAAAATTCAAAAATTGAAGACGAATTAGAGAGAGTAGTCAAATGTGATAGAGAAACATATTTTGAAATACGACAATGCTACGTACCTCAAATTTTGTGGTTCAAAAGTGGCTCAAATGGCCAAAACGACCTCGTTTTGAGTACAGAACAATATAAAAATGGCCAAAACGACGTCGTTTTGGCCATTTGAGCCACTTTTGAGCCACAAAATTTGAGTTATGAGACATTTTCCTTTTGAAATATGTGGTGGAAGTACATTTTCAAAACTTCATCTAAATAGTGCATGCAAACGGAGAGGTGAAATTATGATTATAAAACTGCACCAAACACTACTGTAATATTTTTTTTTTTTATTTGTTAAATTTTGAAAAATAGAACTGCTGATTATCACACAATAAGACAACTTTTTTTTTTTTAAAGAAATTATTAGTTAATAGAGATTATTAAGTTATTAAACACTAATTACAACAGTGATTTAAATGCCAAAACCAAGTGATAGCTTTAATTGAAACAATTGTTCAATTCATGTTGAATACATTAACTCATTAGTTTTCTTGGCTCCTTTAATCGTCAGTTAAGTTATGTTTTCATGAATTTTCATTCATTGCCATAGTGTAAACACCTTGTTTTTAGGAATATAAAAAAAGCTTAGTCGAGTTGAATAGTGGATTGTTTGACAGTAATTCTATTTCCACCTCACAAATTCTCTTAGTATACACTATTTACTTCACCATATACAATTTTGACTTTCTTATTTTTGCTCAATGTACACCATCAATTTTCAAAATTTTCAAAAATATCCCTATCTTCCTCAACCCAACCTATCCCAACTCTAACCCTAACCTTAACCCTAACATCTCCCTACTGCCGGCGTTCCCCTTGCGAACCTCTTTTCGCCGCCGTCTCTCTCCAGTCGAGGTCATCCCCCTCTACATCTTCCACTCCCAGCTCCTCTGCAATTTCTCACTCCATGGATCCCCTATTGCAGTCGCCTACAACCTTTACCCCCATCGCCCTTCCTTTCCCCCTCGGTTTCCACCCCTAGCCTTTTCTTTTTCTTCTCGTCTTCAAACCCTAGATTTGGAAACCTAAATCAATCTCTCTCCCTCTCTCTCATCGAAAGGTTGAGGAGTTGGGTCGCGCTGTGGAGTGGATCTAGAGGATGGGTCGCGATGGAAGGTTGTAGCGTCAACGGTGGAGCGAGTTGCAGCGGTGGCTAGGGGGTGCGGTGTCAGAACTGGAGAAGGAGAAGAAAAAGAAGAAAAGAAGGAGATTGTGGTGCTCGCAGACTAGTGGGTCGTCAAGGATGATCGCTAAAGTGACGAACGTGATGGTTGAGTGACGGGTTGGAATAGACACGACAACGGCAGAGATGTGATGGGACTAGGAAAGTGACGATGGCGATGGTTTGGTTCACCGGCGGCTGGAGAAGAAAGAGGTGGTTGGTGTGTAGTAGATTTAGGGTTTTGTCCTAAATGGTAATTTACTTAAGGATAAAATTGTAATTTTGAAAAAATTCATAAGTGTGTGGAGTAAGGAAACTTGGTGTGTAGAAATAGAATTTCTAATGAATTTGACTTGATTATCTTATAAACTTATCTCAAATGAGATTCCAAATAGTTTGATGTTTTTTTTAAACAATTATTGAGTTCATATAAGTTTACTGAGTTCAAAGAATATATTTTGTTTAGTTTGAAATTTTTTGACTTGATTATCTTATAAACTTATCTCAAATGAGATTCCAAGTAGTTTGATGTTTTTTTTAAACAATTATTGAGTTCATATAAGTTTACTGAGTTCAAAGAATATATTTTGTTTAGTTTGAAATTTTAAAAAATGATTTTGAGTTTTTAATCTGTATTTTTTAGTTTTTAATGAATTTTTTTTAAATTTTTAGTTTTACTTGATTTAAATACAAAAAATCATAGTATTTTTACATTACTATATTCAATGAATTTTTTAAAAGTACAATTTTTATACTTTTTAAGTGTATTTAAATTTCCCTTCTAAAAAAAAAAAAGTGTATTTAAATTAAGTGAATTTAAAAAAAAATAAAAATGATTAAAATATTTTAAAAAATCACTAAAAATATATATATAAAATTATAAATTGAAAATTAAGATTTTTTTTTTTTATATATTTTTTTTTCTCTTGAATACTTCAAAGTAAACAGAAATAAGTTTTAAAATGAATCCAAGTTTAGGTTTATTTACATAAAAATCAACCCGAAACGAGTTGCGAGTTTTAAGCGAGTTGGAAGACATCCACCAGTGGTGGAGTCATGGCACCTTGACTCCCTTTGTCTTGCTACAACACGATACTCTGTCTATACCTCACTCGGTTCAGTCAAATTATTCAATAAGATGTAGTTCGATAATTCAGGCCAAAGCCAAAGTAGGTTCCTGATGAATTCCATTGACGAAATTTACAAAAATAAATAAATAAATCATAATAATAAAATTAAAATTAAAATTAAAAAAACAAAATTGCACTAGCTAGATTATCATGAGTTTTTCCTCGACAAAGAATGCATTTGTTTTCGTAATCATCAATGTTTAATGCCAGACAACAAATCTACATCACATAAGCCTACATTTTATCATCAATGATAAAAAATATAAAAAAAAGTAAAGGAAAGAAAAGAAAAGAAAATGAAATGAAAGAACCAAAAAATTGAAAGAAAAGAAAACGATATGTGATAACTAACGAGACAAATTTACAAGAGAAAAAAAAAATAAAAATTAATTTAAAAAATCTCTTCTTCTGTGACCACTCGCCTTTGGCCAACCTCATAGAGAGGCAAACTCCACATTCTGTTGCAGCTCTTACACGCAATGGAGAGTGGTTTACCCATGTAAATGTTGAAAAAACTAGCATTGTAAGCTGGATTCGCAAATATGACCTTTGCATTTCTATTATTTTTTTTAGTCCATCTAGTTTTTGTGAACATCCAGCAGCAAAAATCTCTTCCTTGTTTAGCACCTCCAATTTGTCAGGCCTGCAGGAATAAGTAGTATAGTTAATGGGTTTAAAGCAAAGACGGTTTCCAAGCAAAAATTATCAACGAAAAATCCCTAATAATGTGATTTGCTTTTTCTTTTTTCACAAAGCAAATCCGCTGTAAGAATCAAGGCAAAACCAGAAAAAAGGGCATAGAATGCACATGCCCACACTCCTTTATCTACCCCGGGCGCTTTGCTATACAAATTAACAAATCTTACAAACTTTTTTCACCTATTATATCATTGAAATGGGGTTCCGTTTCAATTTTCAAAGTTTCATTGCTGCATGACACATCACCAAGCAAGAAAATATTGTAAGATTCGTCAATTTATATCGTATTTTCCTTTTTTCTATCATTGTCCCGTGCAATTGCTTCGATGCAGATTTTTCGAAATCTAGCAAGTGGCACAGGGCTTACTCTGTTAAAGATAGATCTGAAGAAGAATGAATGAGATGGAATACAAACACACAGAAATCGCAGCCCCAGCAAGAACATTATAAAGCAACTGCTTGTTGTCTCTTGTGGTTATAAAAACTGACTTGAGGGTGTTCGTTAGTTCAAAGAGCCGATGAGATATCTGCAGAGCCAAGTCAAATAACATCATAATGTAAAGTACTTATAGCTCCATAAATTTTGGAAGGCTGAAAAAAATATTTGCTCACCAAGATATAAATGGCAGTTGTAAGCACGAAGTTGAGCATAGGATAATCTGGGATCAGAGAAAGAAGCAACTTGGGTTGTCCATTAGGTATACTTGATCTGCACACACGGCCGAAATAATTCTAGTAATTCAAACGTAGCATAAAAAGCATCACAGATAATGAAGCCGGGCTTCAAGGTTACACATCACGAAAGAATTTCATTTAATTAAAACATGGAATCTGAGTAATAAAGAGCAAACAAGAAACTAATGAAATGAACACACCTCAGCCAGATGTGGAACTGGGAAATATATGTCTCCAAGGTAACCTTACCGAGCCACCTAGAAGCACAGAGAAAAGTACAATTAGCGAGAGCACAACATTTTGTAATGCCAATTTGAAAAAACAAAAAAAAGAAAGAACAATGTTTTAGAACTTAATGACTCATAAACGTTGTAAAGATGTGCTTCATGGTAAATTGGTTTAATCAAAGTCAAAGAGAGCTTACGCAAAGAGAGTCAATGAGAAATTCCGAAGCTCCTGAGTGAAATTCCGCAAGCAAATGTAAACACTGGAATCATAATAAAGTAGAAGTGAGAGTAAGTTATTGCAACAAAGCGAAAGCATATTGCGGGACCAAATATACTACATGCCACGTTTTTGACTTTTTTGTACAGATCTATAAAGAAAGAACAATAACAAAAATGACAGCAATACTAATGATAAACAATGACTAAATATAAGCAAAAATTTAATAGAAGGACTCTGAATACACACGTTATTGGAATCCATGATGTGTAGGGATGGTACTTGTTGTATGTAACCTTGTCCAGCTTGTAAATATATTCATACCATATATAACCAACCTGAAAGGATGATTGTGTAAAATCCAAGATCATTTAAAGTAAAGAAATATAAGAAAGCTCATTTAAAATCCAAGATCATTACATAGTGATCGTATAGTAACTCACAAATAACGAAACTGATAAAATGCACGTTTTGATTGTGCGTCTCCACTTGCCGTCAGATTCTTCTAATTTCTCCATCCACTTCTCAACCTAAGATACGAAATTTTGAACTTAAGAGCAGTTGGCACACAGAGAGCAAAAATTATAAACCACCAAACCTTCAAGTAATTACATTTGGATGAAAATAAGCGTATATCATTCCAATGATCCATATGTAGCGATCAAGCCCAGATCTAAAATGCCATTCATGCAACCGGGGAAGATCTGGTTTTGCGGGATCATTGTATCCTGTCATTGAAAATAACTTGCTTAGGTCAGCAAGTATGAAAAAAAATTCCAGACTTGAAAACCCCGCCAAATTGAACTTTCGCTGTAGAATTTAACTTGAAATGAAGTTTAGCAACACTATTAACACTATATACCAAATCATACAATACAAAATTGGACTTTATGTTTTTCAGAAGAGAACTTGAATAAAAGAAGACAGAAAAAGTGCATACACATATAAGGAGGGTGTCAAAGAAGGGTCGAGAGTTAGGTTAGTTACTAACCTAACAGGAATGTTAAAGGGCTCCATAAAATATCAAAAACTCCAGGAATTTCCCAAATCACAATAACCACGAGAAAGCATGAGAAGATCTTCACAGCCATCACGGATTGTATCTCATTATACTTGTAGAAAATACCAAGGGCTCCATACACCATAACAGTGAAAAGGGTGTGCATTGGACAGATATAATACAGCATATAGTCATTGTTAAGAACAATACAACAAAATGCCACAAAGAAATTTAGCCGCCACATCATCTGCATAAAAAGGACAACAAAGATGTAAAGGCATCCTATATTTTTACATCTGAAAATGAAGTCAATTAAAATGATAATATGAAGAGAATAAATTATGTTACCTGAGCAAACCTTGCAAGGCTAAAATCCTTCCGTATATAATAATAGGAGAAGTTTCCAAATCCAGTCATCCAGACATATGCAGCAATAAAAATACGTATTGCATTGTATATTTCCGTTGCAGCAAAGTAATGATACATGAGAAAGAGGACCTGTTAAATGAAAACCAGCAAATTTCATTATATCTTAAGAACTACTTGGAACAGTTTACCACAAAATATGAGCAGTTGTACTGTACAAATAGGGCATGGTAGAGGATAGAAGCAGTATTAAACATTCAAGTTGGATTTGAGAATCATAATGGTGGACGAGTAGATATTTTTTCAGGCTTCAGTCTGACATCTTTTAATGAAGGACAACCATAATCATGTGATAAATCATTTAAGTCTTTTTCCAAGACACAACTTTACTACAAGGAAATCAAAGAAAACAATTGTGATCCAATAATACAACTGTTGGAATGACATCAGCTCTGTCAAGTGGTAACTTATACCAGTCATCTACAGATGATAATAAAAGATAGAAGAAAAAAGGAAGAAAAGAAAAGGCACATTAAAAAGCAGCAAGTTTTTAATGTGTGTGTGTTGTTAAGAAAGCTTCCAAGTGAACATGAACAATAGAGAATGCTACAGAACGTATTTTGAACACTTTTTCCAACTAAGCTGAAGCACTAATGCACAACAAGTAAGTTTTGAAGAAAAATACTTGCCTGCATCCATCCTTTCCACTCTTCTGTTTGATGCCGATTAAGGTATAGTAAGGATTTTCCAGAAAAAGTTGACTTGTCATTATGTTTCTTGAGAGATGTCATTGCCGAGACTATGACAAGAAGAGCATAGAGAAAGAGGAAAAGGTCCCGATTGTAATTCTGCCAAGAGAAAAGAAAAATTATCAAAATCAACAAAGACAGGTTTCTGACTAAAGGACTTGAAGTTATGAAGCTAACTGCTTAAGAAGTGGCAAATATTTTTTTCAGAAAGGCTGTTGAAATTAGTCATGATACAAAGATACAAGGTTACCTAACTCTCAATACTAACCGGCATCTAAATTTTTCAGGCATATTCTTGCTTGTTTTCTCATCATTTTTACTGTTTTCCTCTCCTATCTTATTTTCTGTTAAGAGGAAAACACAGGGCTTTATATGTATATCAAACTTCTTTTATTGATTTCATATCAGAAAAGCTAACAACAAACATTGTAAGGGTTAATTATGTACCTTAGTGTCCATGCATAGCAACCTGAATGCACCCATGAATACCACTAAAAATATATTAATCAAAGATGTCCACACTCCATTCATCTCTTAGCAAACATGTAAACCAAGAAAATGAAGCTCAAGATTCTTGAATTAATTTTGAGCTCATATACTGATTAATTAAAAAAAAAAAGGGGGATCATATATTGAATTAATTAAAGCAAGAGACAAGGTTAAGTTTTTAGCCGTATTTCCAATCATATGTTATATGGACTCTTCTAATTCTATGAAGTACCTGTGGCAAACACTAAACCCTAGTAAGGGTATGGATATGTTTCCAACATTGGTAGTTGGACATTCACCTACCAAGCATATTGTATTTCGAGTTTACCATAAAACAATGCATAAAACCTATGAAGCACCAACACTCCAAAACAGGTGCCATAGCGGTGTCAGACACAGGGACACGGGGACACGTAAGGAACACTTCAGCTGACCTGTCTCTTTATTTAATTAATTTATTTTCAGGAGACATGCAGAGATACGCTAAATGAATACAACCATCAAAACATGACTTAAAAAATCGACCTTTAATTCACATTCTATCCTATTCTCATTCATTTGCATGTCTTATTGCAGCAAATAATATTGAAAAGACAGAAGAATTGTATGTTGAATATTCAATATATAAATGTTCACAAAACGTTGGAGTTCACCATAGCAAATGTAATCATTTGTTATAGTCATGAGTACACAAGGATTTAAACCATAATGCAAAGATATACTAATAACAATAAAAGCACCTTGGTAGATTCTCCCAATAAATCTGTACGGTCACATATGTAGAAATACACCAGAATTGCCCCAAACTCAGACCTATAAAAAATTACAATTGCATGTAAGAAACAATAAAGAGCAGTCAAGCATTTCTAATCATAATGACCAACATGACAAAACAGCATGACATACATTGCTCTCAAAGTTGCTCGATTTTCAAGCAAAAAAGAGTCTTCCATGGCTAGAAACCTATAAAATGAAAAGGTGAAGAAAGTAAGAAAGGCTAGAAAGCAATTACCATGGAATCCATTGAAAGACTGGATATCCAACAGCAAGCTACCTGATTAAATTTGCTTTAATCGAGGAAGTATAAAACTTCGTAGAAGCTGATTTTGTGAGGCCTCCTTCCAGCAAGACAGCCCTATCATCTTCCTTGATCGTCTCATTTCCCAATTCAACCAGATTATTGTCTGAATGACTGCAACCCAAAAGGTCAAGAAATTTAGCATTGATGAATTCAACATTTCTTTGTTGATTATGTTGTATATAAAAAATGAATTTTCAATTCTCAAATTGTGTAGAAAAAATATAGATTGGATAAAGTGAGAGTGATTGAAAAATGAGAAACCGTAATATATTTTATCTGCACAAACTAGACCAGTTTAAAATACAATATATTCACTTGCACTCATGTATGTGTGCAAGTGCCTAATTTTTAGAAAATAAAGTTTAATAAATAGGTGGTGATTTGTTCTTGGCAAGTTTTAGTGCTTGCAAGGATATTCACTGTGACAAATTCTGGTAAAAAAAAAGTGCATATTTAGTTGGAATAAATAAATAAATTCATATCTCCAGGGGCAACGCTACTTGGTTCGTAGTGGTGTCACATGAACCCACTGGCTAGGGAAAATAAAATGTCTTACTATATGTAAATTATTGTTTTAGGAGAAAGTCTGCATATGTGAACCCACTGAGAAGGGATTTGAACCCACCAATGCAAGATATTATACTGTATTAAATTAGGTATATAAGAAAAAAGTGTGTATAAAATTTTCATACAAAATGATGTGACATCTTGTGATTTCTTCATTTACAATAAAAATATCCATCATTCATTATTTTATAAATGTCACTACCGCGTCATTCTTGTTATAAATTTCATATAAAAATTCTATAAGCATATCATTTTTCATTCAATAATTTTGCAATGTATTTGGTTGGTTGATGTGTGGTTTTATGTAATGCATTATGTGATATATCCTAATTATCATGAATAGTTAGTGCTTTTGGGGTTGTGGATATGTCTATTCCTCTGTTAGTTTTTGAACATTTTTATTGCTCACAAGGGTGTTTAAGATTTTGTCCTGATTAATTTCAAGGAATAATGTTAAGATGACTACATTTATATATCACATATTATTTACGATCTCATATGTCATAATTGGATTAATTGAATGGGTCACACCACTAATGTCTATTATCAATACACTACACATGATAAATAAAATGTGGTACACATATATAGTTATCATAACATTATTGATTCTTTAGTACATGTAATTTTTCCGTTCCACATATACCTCAAGAGGAATGATAAGGGAAACACTAATTAATCATAAGAATTTTATTTTTTAAATGACACCACTAGCAAAATTTTTGAAGTCGCCACAGCATATCTCTCAACATAACCAAGACGATGGAATTAGAAGGCATGGAGAACGAAGGGAAAATCTGACATAGCAAAGCATCCCACATAATTTTATCCCTATTGTGGCAGCTTAAGAGCATATTATGGTATAAAACATGTAAATTCTTCATAAAAAGGTTGGCAATACATTCGTAAATGACGGTGAACTCAAATTAAAAACTGTGTTCCCTTCAGTGATGAAAGACTGGCTTTCCCTCTTATCTCACTTAAACCTCACGTAATTATGGCTTGGTGTTTTGTTCTTATTTCACTTTTTCTTTTTTCTTTTTTTGATAATGTTCTTATTTCAATTTCATATATTAATGCTTATGATCTTTTTCTTTTTCTTTAAAAAAACTAAAATGGAAGTAAAATTATACTTAGTGGACAAGGCTCCTACTTACAATAGGGTCTGGGGAAATAGTAGGTACCCAGCCTTATAAATTACCAATATGTCCTACTTTTGAGACTTATTATCCATTAAGTCCTATTGACAAATTTATTAAGTGGTAATTTTATCATTTTCTCTTGTTTTTATAAATAAATTTACAGTGATAAAGTTATCCGTCAGGGCCTGTAAGTAAATAAGTCTAATTAATAGGACTAATTGGTAAGTGCCCCTATAAACATTCACAAGTGACCCCACACATTTGTGATCATCCATTTCCACATTATTTGAGCCAAATGTTGTGCGAAGGTGTTCTATCCACCAATATTTAGTCTAAGTAACAAAAAGTTACATTTCAAATAGCTGCTATTTCCACACTTCACTACATTCCAAATACTTCAACCGTAGTGCATTACATAAGCTCCACAGTCTAGCACTTACTTGGATTGGACATAGTAACGAAACAACAAATAAGTGTCAGAATCTTACATGGCCCCACAACATACCAAGTTGACTAGAGAATCATCTCATCTCACATAAAACATATGTTTTACAACTAAAAAATAGGGTAATTAATTAAGCTACCTACTGCTGATACTATACATTATAAATGTCAGTCCCCTAGCATACAACCGGTCAGTTGTTTAGATTGTTCTGAAGATAAGTGAGAGATTATGTGTTTCAGTCTGTGTAATTAGTTCCTTGTTTGTACACTGAAAAGGTTAGGGAGTTGCACAAGAAAAAGAAGTGTAGTGAGAAAAACAAGTATAAAGTCAGAGATTACCGCTGCAAACGAAAAGTTATGTACTCTATCCGATAATCTACTGATCTTCATGTTAAAGAGAAAACCTTACACTTTAGATGGAGATGAAGACTTCTTGTATTCTAACAACTCAGAATATATCCATGCAACAAAAATGGGGATAAATCCAAGCAAAAAAGACACCTGAGCATGATACAAAAAGCTCCATTAAATCTATCAGCCAAAACTACTCAAAAAAAGGCGAGCACAAAACAGATAATAGAGAGAAAAACAATAGAAAAAAAAGAAGCAGCAGCACCAAACCAACTTCTGTTGACAATTAAATTAGCAGGTGAGCACAAACATGTTTAGAATCGTACTTGTTAACTTAAAAAGGTTACCCCAACACAAGAAAGGTAATATTGTGAATAGAAAGATCTATGGACTTTGTTTCCTGAGATATTTTCTAGGCTCTAAAAGCCTAAATTCAACCTTTCTCTGTCTCTATGTGGTTGCACACAGCAATTTTAGCCATAATAGAAAATGTACCACTCTAATGTCTGTTACTGTTAAATCCTGACTAAAGATTCATAAAGAAGTGTTCATACTGCTATTGTCCAAGAACAATAAAGGGAAATATTCTTGTTTTGAATGAAATTAGTCTCAGGACTGTACATCATTTTCCAAGGTCCAGGGGATAACATCAGCAAATAGGGCCAATGAACGAATTCTTTGCTATTTGATGTTGCATTTCCATCATCAGATGTGACTAACTCATACCAGGTCCATAAATAGATCTTTCTAGCATTAGCACCATTGAAATTAGTTCATACCATACAAGAAACATAAATAAATTTAGAGTACGAATTGCTTAATCCATATCAGTTCCACTCCAAATTCCCAATCCAGGTGCTTAGGTTCATATTACCATGATAAATGGGCTTATGCTAAACAATTTAATATTATATACCTATCTACATATACGATTATAAAGAGAAGCCTTCTCTTGGTGTCTCAAATTATAGGTTTTCCAAAAATACACCTATTTCAGTTATATGGGTAGTTATGCCCTAAATTCAATTTTTATTTTTCTCTCAAATCTATCAACTTTTGATTTTCCCAAATTCATTTCAATTTGCAAATTTGAATTCAATCATATAGGCTACAATTCTATTTTCTAAAACAAAATAATCATATGTGCACAAATCGCGTGCACCACCGCTTCTAGTTAGGACCAAAACAATAGCTCAACATTTGCATATCAGAAGCTGAATTCAGCAATAGACCACTTCATACATGAAAAGTGTCACTCCTGACATATAGCCCTGTTTGGGATATTACATTAAGGCTCTGTTTCTTTCACCGTAAAATATTTTAAACTATTTTTTGTTTTTTTTTGTTTTTTTCGGCATTTGGTTGACATTTGAAACAAAAATAATTTATTGTCTAAAAAGAGAAATTTTGATTCAATAAGGAGTCATTTATGACTTTTTAGTAAAAATGTAGTAAAAATTGACTTACGTAATTTTTAAAGGGAAGCCATTTTTGGAAAATTCATGAAAAAATATTTTTCATAAAATATGTTTTACTTACAAACTAGAGAAAATGAGTAAAATATTTTTGAGAAAACATTTTCCGTCAAAACAAAAAGAAGCCTGACAAGAAATTGGATTTTCGTTATTTGGTCCGCATTTCGAAGTTTAAACAGAAGCCAATACATATGCTGACATAAAAAGAAGCTGCAAAAGCGTTACATATGATTATACCCACAAATCAGTGAAGCAACAAGAAGTAAATTAAATTTGAGTATTGAATGAAAACGATTAGGAAAACACAATAACAAGAACAAATAGAGTTAACATACCAGTCCAGGCGTTATAGGCCCAGGCACCGCCATTTCGATGAGACTTTGAAATCGAAGAGAGAGAAAATGGAAATGGAGATTGGAAGAGGAGGTCGATGTATAGAGTGCCTGTTGAGTCTCTCTCTCTCTCTCTCTCTGGAATTACTATATCTATAATAATGTCGGGATCAACATCATGATCATCGTCGTCATAAATCGTATAGTAATGAGGAATAGGAAACCCTAGACAGGGTGTGATCGAAGAAGAATGAGAGATCTCAAGCAAACTAGAGGGTATAATATATGAGTCGATGTCATTCGATCGCTTCCAGAATTCATAAAATGTGGGGTACAAACCAACCGTTAGATAGATAGTGGTTGCCGTTTCGTTGCTGTATTGTTTTCGTTTGAGAGAGAGAGAGAGGGGAAAAATAAATATAAATAAATGTAGAGAGAGAGAGGGAGGAGAGAGAGGGAGGAGAGAGAGAATATACCCTTTTTTATTTATTTTATTTTTTGATAAATTACATTTTTTATTCTTGTAGCTTGACTCTAATCTCTGTTTCTTTAGACTGAAAATATTTTCTAACTAAATATTTTTTATATGTTTGGTGGTAGTGGTTGGTGGGGCGAAGATGGAGATGGTGGGCCGTGGCGGTTGTGGTAGGAATGATGGTGGTGGCAATGGGTGTAGTGACGGTGGTATGGTGGTAGTGTGATAATGGAGTGACATTAGTAAATATTTACTTTTTAAAAGTGAAAAATATTTTTTATTTGAATAGATTTGTTTTTCATTGATTATTAAAAATATTTTTCTTTAATTTTAGTTTTCTTGTTGTACTAACCATCAGAAAAAATGATAAATATTTTTAAAAAATATTTCACTTTGATCTCTATAGTTTTAATTTAAATAATTTTATACTTACACTTTTAAGTCAAATTTTTAATTTGATCCTTCTATCTGAATTTTTATTTTTATTTTTTTCGACGTATACAACTCAAGAGATTGACAAATATTCTAAAATTATTTATTTTAACCTCCAATTTTAATTGAAAGACCAAATTGAAATTAGATTTAAAGTGTGTAAGACCCATTGAAAAATCGAAACAATAAGAATTAAAGTGAAAATTGGTTCAAACTATAAGGGAAAGAATATATTTTAGAGGGCAACCTGGCAACGCCATTTTAATAAATTTGTTAAACAATTCACTATCTGTTTGTTTGTTTATTTTTTTATTTTTTGTATGAAAAAAATTACTTAATAGATCTGATATGTTAAGTGATTGTATGCTCATCTATTAAGAGGATATATAATCACTTTATTCAAATTTAACTTATTTACTTTTCAAACTGATCTCAAAATCAAGTTGATCACTTGGCACTTGACAAGCTAAACTTGAATTATCTTCTAATGGACTGATTTATTTTTATCTATTTTTTAAAAATTTTAGAAATAGAAGTTAGAGGATTAGTTAGTTGAATTATTACTACAAGGCCAATCCTCCATCAACTTAAACCCAATACCTGAGTATATCAAATATGACTATAAGACCACTAGACTGTCACCTAAAATCTAGTGAATAACTTGAGTTTCCAATTACTTTCTTTGTTTTAGGACACTAACATAAATCCAATATAAATGTGTTTTTTGGTTGATGACATGGTAGGTTGATTGTCCATGTATGTAGTTGTTTGACTTTTGCAGGAGTGTAAATGAAGTAACCACCATCAACATTTCTTCATCTTTGTGTTACTCCTTTAGAATTTCTTCTACTTACCTCAAGTTGAAAAGGTAATCACTCAACACTTTTATGAACTTTTTTCACAAAGCAAATGAAGCATTCATATTCAAGTTGACATGGTGAACACTACAAGCAATTGTACTTGGGGCCAAGCGTTTGTGGCATATGTAAACATAAATTTCAGAACATAAAACTTCATGTTTCGGATCATCTACCATGTATATCATCAAGAAATCAAGACAAAATGACATACCTGAATCCATCGATGAACGGTTAAACGGAAGCGTCTGATTGTCAATAAAACCTTAATATTGACTATGTTATTGCCTTCTAATCCTTTCCCCTTTGGTGCCTTATGTTTCTCCTTGAGAGGATTTAGAAAAACAAAACAGTGTTCTTATATTTTCCACCTTAGGAAGGAATAGGGACCATAACCTTTTAAAGGTTGTAATTGGTTTTCATAACTGAAAGGTAATGAAAACCAATAAATTAACCATTATTGGTTTAAAACTGAAAGGTAATGAAAACCAACTTTAACCAATATGTTTTAATTTCTATTTCTGCCCCTCATAGAAATAGAAATTATACAACTAGTATCTACACATTAGGGCCATAACACATATACCCTTAAGCCTATTAACTAAATTGAATCACTTAAATGGTAGGCTTCTTATAAATGATAACACCACATTTAATTATGTAGTCCCATTGAGACATTATCTAACAGAAAAATGATCTGTGAGCACCCCCAGCCACCGTTAGAAAAATGTTTCTCCCCCAAACACCATAGCTGCGTGATAAGTAAAAATCTAGAGAACCACTCTTATCTATTGAGAAAAATTTGGGATTATATGATGGAAAATAATTTTTTTAGTATGGAATCTATGTGAGGTCCATGTAAAATGTGGTGGAAATTAATTTATAAGTAATTTCTAAATTGATAAGGGTGGATTTGTAGTATTCGTGTGATAAATAAGTGGAAACAAACGGCCAAAAAATAATTCGGCACATTAGTGGCTAGCTCATGCCAGAGCAAGGTATTCTAATTGGTAAGGATGATCATAGATTCGTCCAATCTGTCCAACCCGATTAAACTGACCCAACCTAATTGATTTTGGGCGGATGCGTATTTTTTGATGGATGAATACGGATGAAATATTTTAAAATTCGTAAATACGATTTGGATGATGGATCTACTATCTCGCATCTACATGAATCCGATCCGCCCAGGGCCCGCCCTGAGATTTAGGGGGCCTAAGGCAAATTTTGAAAATTGGGGCCCCTCTTACATTGAAAAAAAAGGGTTCACGGATAAAACGATAAGTTACAACTTTTTTATTTGTCTGTAGTCACAAAAAAATTTACTTGCACAAATAATTATTAAAATTATAAACAAAACAATTTAATGAAACAAAATTAGGGCAAAAAAATTAAGAAAAAATCATTAAAATTATATTTTTATTTTAATAAATATGGGCCAAACTACACTTATAAATAAATATAGGATAAACCATATATGGAGCCAACAAAATATTTTGGGGCCCTTTAAATAGATCCTTAAAAAAAAAAAGGGAAATTACCCATAGGTCCCATGTGGAACATGTGGACACCATTTAATCCCACAACTTTTTGAGTACACCCAAAAGTCCTTTCCCCTCTCTCTCTGCTTTTTGCTTCCCTCTTTACGCCTCCTCCTCTAACCCTAATCTCAGTCCTAAAGTCAAACAAGAAGGCGATGAAGAACAAGAACAAGAAGACGATGAAGAACAAGAACAAGAAGACGCTCATCCTCAGATCTGTACTTAGATTGAACAGATTTGTGTATATATCTTTGTCAATTTCTCTCTCTTTCTCTCTCTATTTACAGATTTTTTTTGGGATAGTTGTTGATCTATGGTTGTTGTTGTTGATGATGAAATAGATCTATAATATCATTGAAACAGATCTGTAATGACTCAGATTTGTACAGATATCACACAGATTTGTAATGAGAAAATTTTCAAATTCTGAACAAGTAATTTTCGAGTTTTAGTTACAGACGGTGAAAACTGTAAAATTTTGCAGTTTCAAATTTTTTTTTTGGTACTGGAATGAATCATGGTTTAAAACTGTAAAATTTTGCAGTTTTATGACATTTTTTAGAACTGTAAAATTTTACAGTTCTAAAAAATGTTATAAAACTGCAAAATTTTACAATTTTAAACCATGATTCATTCCAGCACCAAAAAAAAAAAATTGAAATTGCAAAATTATACAGTTTTCACTGCCTGTAACTAAAACTCGAAAATTACTTGTTCAGAATTCGAAAATTTTCTGATTACAAATTTGTGTGATATCTGTACAAATCTGAGTCGTTACAGATCTGTTTCAATGATATTATAGATCTATTTCATCATCAACAACAACAACCATAGATCAACAACTATCCCAAAAAAAATCTGTAAATAGAGAGAGAAAGAGAGAGAAATTGACAAAGATATATACACAAATCTGTTCAATCTAAGCACAGATCTGAGGATGAGCGTCTTCTTGTTCTTGTTCTTCATCGCCTTCTTGTTTGACTTTAGGACTGAGATTAGGGTTAGAGGAGGAGGCGTAAAGAGAGAAGCAAAAAGCAGAGAGAGAGGGGAAAGGACTTTTGGGTGTACCAAATAAAAAGTTTCGATCAATTTTTGTCATATGCTGATTACTAATAGATACCATAATAAATTATGTAACTTGACAGTTTCATGAAAGTGACCCTACAAATATTTATAAGTATGCATCTATAAATATCGTGATTTCTATATTGATCGAAATATTAAGGTACAAGATCATTCTATTTTCTAAAATGACTATTTCACATTTTCTATATAAATGAAAATATACTAATGACTAATATTATGTTTTTCAACATGTAAAATATTCGTGACACAGGAAACGAGACTCAACAACTCTTGATGTATAAAATTATATTACATATTGATATAAATGCATTCTTATATCAATAGTATGCAAATAATATGCAATAATGGGTTCAATGAATTGTATTATGAGATGAACTATTAAACAAAATTGTGTAATTAATTTCAAACCTTCAATTGTATTATATGTATGAATTATGAAAAATTGAAGTGCGAAATTGATAAAAAAAAAAATTGTATAATACTATATATTTAAATGACCTGTTTATATTTATTATTTAATATAAGATTGTAATATCAACAATTTAACTATAAATTAATGTTTATGTTTTTAAAATTTCTCATTTCTCATTTAAATTATTCAGCCGAGTATGTATTCATTTCTTGTTTAGTTGTATTTTGGATACAGATAAATTTATCCATACAAGTCTCCATATTTTATATATATATCACATACTAATTTAAGAGATATACATAATTACAATATTAACGGTTGATAAAAAATCACGTGTCATGTATAACGTATGTACTCAACCACTAATAAATATAAATGTTACAAAATATATTCTAAGTAAATAAACGAGTTTGTTTTAGATTTGTAAGTTTGTTTATTAAACAAGTTAAGCTCGAACTTATTCATTATTTATATATTTAAATAATATAAATAATTGTAAAAGAAAATTTTATTATCAAGTTTTGAACATAATTCAAACTTAATTAATATTAACAAATTAAGCCGAAGTCGAATTGCACTGGTTATCAAACTGA